TTTCAAGGCGAATTATTTGGAAGGAAAGTAGTGAGTCAGCCAAAATCCTTCGATAAGGCAAGTATGTAACTACAAGTGGTCCAGCCTACATCTATAGGAGGGAAGGGCATACGGGTAATCCTCGCTTGGAAAAAATCTGTAATACAGCACACTGGTGAAAACCATTTGGACTTTCTCCACGGTTAGAATGTCTTTTTTCAAGTGAGGATCCACACTTGGCAAGCATACTGTAATGAAGGGAGAACATCGGCCATGAGCTTGATATATACTCGCAAGTCTACTTGCTTCAAGTTCCGTAATAAAAGGAATACTATGTGTACGGCTGCACGCAAAACTTTCTCAATATGACATCTTAACAGGAGCTTATGGTCCATCAATATTCCAAGATCTCTTACAAGTACGGGCATAGCCAGATGAATGCTGGAGTGAGTATACTCTTCAAGTGCGTTCTCTTGCACTTGCGTTTTAGTGATGGTCAAGCACACACTTTTACGCAAGTTGACATCAATGCAGTCAAATCTGCCCACAATAAATTTTTTGGTGGCAAGCACTCAAGGCATCAGTCAATTCAACTTTGTCCTCATTAGAGTATGAAGCAAAAACTTTTATATCATCCAATGAAAGATTACCCAATATTCGCATATATCTTCTAGGCAAAGTAAGCCGATATCTAATAATATTTTCAGTGCTGCAAAAACGGATCCTCATAAAAAATTGGTCATATAGTACGTACATGCAACATTTGTAGATGCACTTGTTAAATTTTCTCTCAAGCTAGAAAACCAGGAAATATATTTGGGCTGAAACACGAAATATCCCTATTCTTCTTTGGTCTTTATGCCAAGTTTTCTATTTATTGAGTACTGTAGCACATGTAGGATAAAGGTTTTATGGTTATGTTTTCGAAGGTTTTCAGTATACAAACACGTGTATCACAGGAACGCAGGATCTTTGCCTATCGGCTCATCATCATATCTGTTGCCATTAAAGAATTACAGCAGTAATATAAATTAATGCACAATGTATCTAGTATATGTGTTACTAATTTGAGGCTCGTAGGATCTTTGTGTGCTAAGATTTGATTTTTGAGGTACGCATATCTTTTAATTGTAGCGTTAAATTTGATTTAATTTAATTACATGGATTAGGAGTTATGCTGATGTTTAGTGAGCATCTTGTAGAGCTTATGCTTGATCGAATGATGCCCCCTCCTTTTTGGTGTCTACACTGTCGCTGTGGCGTGTGAATCTTATCTTCTGCACAACCTAGTACAACCTAATGTCAGCATCGTGCCAGCCAGAATTGGGTGCCATGGGATTTGGGAATTATTTTCCAGATATCCCAGATCTACCCAGTGCGATGTAATGCACATTTGCATATTTTGTAGGCTGGTTCAGACACCAGTCATGCTTACGCATAGGGCACTTACGAAAAAATTTCAACAGTAGTAGCAGTGCCAAATCGTGGCAGCGTGATATGACCAGGGGGCTCTCCGACGTGGGGTGTGGCACGCCACGCCCGAGAGGTCGTACTGAAGGGCCAAGAGGGGGGGGGATCGTTATGAGATAGTGATGTTAGCGACATGATATTCGTCAACAATGTTAGATAGACCCGTTATGCAAAATACTAGCAGTGATGTTTTGGGTTACCGTCGTATACGTAGTGAGCATAATAAAGGAACCCTAAAAGCATAAAAGCATCATTTTCGTAATTACATGTCAAATAACCCCTGTGGGCCAGGTTTCAGCGAATTCCGTTTCCAAATATTGAGCAAGTGAGGTGGTCATATTCGAACAAGTTAACTTTGTTGCAGAAATGAGTTGACTACTTTTTTTCTGCACTTAGTACAAAGTACTAACGCTTTGCTTATTTTAGGTATCCTCTTTCATATAACAATTGAACTATGGAATCAGGAGCATGCCAAGGCCTCGTTTGTCTCATTCTTTGCTCGCAATATCTCAAACTAGAGAAGATCAATCAGGCTCAAATCACTTTTGTAAAAGTTGCGAGGATTAGGCTATCGAATATATTTGTTCTTGCAGCCTTCCCTCGCGATTCACGGTCTTGGCATGTTACTGTAATCCAATATTTTCGCAGTGTTTTTCATTTGCATATGTAGGGAAAAACGACTATTTTTTCCCAAGGGAAAACCATTTTGAATGAAATTCCTGCTATGTGGAGAAGAACGTCTAGCAGTAGCAACCATATAAAGAAGGTAGGTCTTTGAATGCTTTGAGGGTAAGTTAACGGGATGTAGCACAACCCCATCAACTTACCTCCAAAAAGAATTTTAGCGAGCAGGTTATCCACTATTCGATAGCCTGAATTTCATATTTACATGAGTAATTTTGGATTGAGTCGTCTTCTTTGCTCTGGGTAAACGTTGGTGAAAGCAGACCCATTAAAAGTGAAAAATGGGACAAACGACATTTTGGGCTAAGTTGATCATGTTTGAAAATGGTCACTTCACTTAAATGACCCAATATTGCGACCCGTCAGAATTCGCTAGAATTTGGCCCACAGGGTTATTTAACATGCTGATTACAAATATGTTACTAGTTATGCTTTTCAGAGCCTTTATGTCATGCTTGCGGAAGGCAGAAGACATTGCTGGTGGAAAGGGGGGGGGGGGGTAGACATAGAGAGAACTTAGGCGGGGAGTCGTATCCGGCGGTTGTGTGCCACACCTCTTGCTCGACCCTGAGTATGACTCATGCCGTAGGGGCTCGAAGACACGACGCAAAACCCCAGCAATGTGGAGCGCATCATGACCATTTTGAAATATCCGCTTGATCTCTTCATCCACTTCGCTATTGGTCAAATCAGTGGATTTACCAATAGCGATTGGATCAAGTGGATCAAGTATGGCGCATGCCTGAGAAGGCCTAGCCGAAGCGCGCTTGCGCGAGTGTAATAATCATTACAAATTCAGTGTTTTGCCTAGCCTTCCTCCACCTCTGCTTAGCGTTAAAATGAATTAGGTTGCAAAATTTTTTTACCTTGAAGAAGCGTTTCTTGAACTGTTGTAGATCTGCAGGAGGGACCACATGCTTAACTCACTTTTCGCTTCGTTCGGTATTTTTTTGTGTAGCTTGGTAATACTGAAACTTTTGACTTGGCAATTATGATTGAAAGATTGTATTACAAATTGTCTGTCACAAGCATGCAGTATGTACAATATAATATAGGAAGACCTAGGTTTACCATCCTGCAGAAGTGCACAAAAATTCAAATCCGCTAATTTGTGCATGCTTGCGTTGGAAGAAAGATGCAGCAATTGTGATCACCGTTGTCCATGAGTTCCGTTCCATTTGATCTTATCCCCTTCCAGAAATATCCTAAAGCAAGGGGGGAAATCTCTTTGGAGTTTTTTTTTGAACGCTGTAGTCCCAGCGGGAGATTCATTGCTACTGCTTATGTCACCTTTCTCTATCCAACACTTCAGGAGGTTCGCTTGGTCGAAGTAGCGATTCGAAAGATGACCTACGGACAGAGCTCAAAACGCTGATATCAAATATAGCTTCTATATCTGCGAAGCGTTTGTCTACAGGAAGTTATGGCTTTTTTGTATTTATGGTGGAGGTGTGTGGAAGGAAAATGACGACCTGTTATTGGCAGCATGGATGGGCAACACTCGAAAACGTTCAGGAGGAACCTACAATGCTCATTAAGTACATTGCCTGAGCCTGCATATTGTATGAAGACTACCGTCGTTTTACGACTAAAAATGCATGAAAATCTGGCATGATAAAAGCTCATAACCTTTTTCAGAAGAGCGCATCGCAAATATAGAAGGTATACTTGATATCAGCGTTCAAAGCTCTACCCACCGGTATACATCTTTTGAATAGCCATTCGACCAAGCGAACTTCCCTTGTTAGACTACTAATCTGGGAACACATTCCACAAAGGGGGCTAGAAGCCGCCGAAAAGGATTGGATGGCTAGGTCCCACAAGTGGTTGATCTGCAGTATGATCAGCGTTCGCAAGGGTCCCCATGATTTTGTAGACGTTTTTTGAACAGACAATATTTAGCGTCAGCATTGTTCGCCTCAAAGGCAGCGTCCAGTTAAATCTGGACATACGGAGTTCTGAGGTGGGAAGTAATTTTAGGGCCCTAACTAAGACACTGCGCAAGCGGCAGGTTAAATGGTGAACCCACAGTCGAGATATTCGCCTCCAAGCTGGACCTTGGGATCGTATTCGCATGGATTCATGGCGCGACACGCGTGGTCCTCGCGCGAGACTGATGTGTCGCGCCATTCCATGCGAATACGATCCCGGGGTCCAGTTTGGAGGCGAATATCTCACCTGTGAGCTCACCATTTGAGCTGCCGCTTGGGCAATGTCTTAGTTAAGGCTCCAAGATTACCCTCCAGGTGAGATCCCTATAGGCCCAGATTTGCCTGGACGCAATCTACCAGTAAACTGGGTTGGATACAAGCAAGATCAAGTGGACGCCCAACAAATGGTGTTGGACAATTGAATTCCAAAATGCGCTGGTTGTTGATGTGAACAATGTCATTGCATATGTAGTGTTTCCCTTGCATCTCAAGAAAAGTAGTGTTCCATTATCATACTCGTCGATGAGCTAAGCATATAATGATCTACAGTCACTTTTATCCGAGTTGAACTAATACAAAAAACTACTAACTAATCGTCACTGTCAGGACTTATCGCTTATTTTTTGTACTGTTTTTGAGCATATTCTACCGGAAATTCCCAAGCTAACGTAATATGCGCATGTCATTTGGGTGCAGGACAGCTGTTATATCAGCCAGTGTCCTGCACCAAGGGAAAGTCGTAAAGATTACAGTAATGTTTTTAAAAAAATTAGCATTCAGCAATGAAGCAAAAGCACTTTGTTTTGCAAAAATGAGCTTTTTTCTTTACGCACACTAGTCAGTCTTGGTTGAGTGATAAGCTCTATTTTTCTTATGATCCAATGTGATTTTGAGATCAATGCTTTTCTCCAGATTATTTGCCGTCTCCCGCCGATAATGCGGTATACTGGATCATATGTCCCGATGACGTACCGTCGGAAGGTCAGAAAGAAGAGTGTTCGAACGTGTGGCCATGGCTCGAGCAAGCCGAGATCACGGAAAGACGACCAAGGACGTGCTGAACGTGCAGAGAAGGTTTGACCATTCTGTCTTGGCGGGCCGTTTTAGCACTTTGATTTTACTGCGGCGGGGCTATCGACAGGTGGAGTGGTCAGATAGAGTTTGAGAAAGATTGCCGCGATGGAGGCTGACGAGGATTTGGAAGCAAAGACATAGCGGGTCATTCTAAGCTCATTTTCGGAAAGGAGTTCGACTGTGCTTTCCTCAGCTGTCAGAATCCCTGATTTCGAAAAAAAGCCAGCGTGGCGAAGGTTGTAAAGCTTGACTCGGTGGGCGGCTGCACGCGGCTGTTTCTTGCGGGAACCATAGCTTTCAGCTAAACGTCTTGGTTTACTGAAGGGCCACTGTCCTAACGTACTCGACAATGTTATCACCTCACATTGATTTACAGATTTGTGGTTGCTTAACTTCCATAAACAGATGCCTTTCGCATCATCAAATGTACTCATCAAGTATGTTTATCTGAGAATTTCCGTATAATATTTTTCGTCAGCTCAGCCTACTCGTCCACCGCGTTTAGGAAAGCACCAGATTGCAGTTACTTCTCCTAACTCTTCTCGATTTTAGTGCGCTGCAGCTGGATTTCTGACTTTACGGAACATCGCACTTTGACTTTTGCCCGATGCCGAAGAAGTTATCGAATGAAGCACCGCTTACATTGCGCCGTATGCCTATCGTCATTACCCCTCGGAAACGAAAGTACAAAAACTATGTGTCACGTCGTCGGAACACGCAGTTGTTAGCTAGCTTACGCAAGTGTGTTTCGGATCCTTTACTGTACCGTAGCTTCAATCACTGGAAAGAGCTATGGCGTGATTTTACTCCTAAGAATATGAAATCGCCGTCTGTCCATGAATCCGCTAGAGTGCAAGTTGAAAGTGACGTTTCCGCTAATGTCTCGACTAATCAACCGCCACTTCCACCTATGGCTACTCCACCACAACCGCCCTCGAACAAAAAGAGCACGTTGGGAGCTCAAGAAGCCAAGAAGGGCGAAAAGGGTTATGCAAGCATCCGCGCCGCGCCTCTCACTCGCAGGAAAGATGTGAAGGACGAAAATTCGCGCAGCAATCTTCCACAGTGGAGCGCTACTTCCAAAGCACCTACCACTCGTGTTGATAACACTGTACAGAACCTTCTTTCCGTGCTGCCATCGATTAAGGGAGAATCGGTAGACGCACCCTCCACTGATGCTGAGGTTCCACTGAAACAGTCTGTACACGGTGGCGTCTGTGATAGGGCTAATGCTCCTGATCAGCTGCAGAAATCTGCTGCTCCATCGCCTTCTAGCATTCCGACTGCTACTCCGGAATCAGGTGAAGCGGCGGGTGCCACGACTAGTAATGTATCGAAAGGCGCCAAGCTTGGTGCGGGGGAGCGATTAGGAATTGACCGGAAAAATCCGGCACCGCTTCCATCTGCACCAAAGGCTCTTAGAAAAGCGTATGGTTCAAAGAGCGGGACTACGATATGTGCAGTTGGCTCTCCTTTGAACATCCCTTCTACTAGCACTAATCTTGCCACGGAAGACCAGCGTGTCATCGAAAAGAAGCTGACATTGCGCAAGCGGAAAGAGCAAATCAAAGAAAACCCTGCTTTTCCCGTACCTTCTGAATGCACTGTGGACATTGGAGAAAAATCAAATCAAGCTGATGAGCAAAAGGCTAAGAAAACGGTAAATGCTGTAGCAGCAGCGTTTTCTACACAATCCATCGCCACTGAGGATGCCCCCAAAGCAGAGGAGAAAAAGGAAGTTGATAAGGGAGCCGCTCAGCGTGCCGCTAAAGTTCCTACATCCGCTACTGCTAGTCTTCTTGCTCAGCTTCAACTTCCACCAACGGTTTCTGCAAAAGTAGATAAGATCATTGCTTCTGGTCAGAAGGCAAGACCGCAACAGAAAGCTGGTGACCAGGTTTACTCGACAAATTTTCGTCCACTCAGAATGCGTTGGATAATAAAATTCATATTTCAGCGCGCTCGCATGAAAGCCCACCTGGACCGTCAGGCTGCTGGTGTATTACCTGATGATGACGACGGTCACCTCATCTTCAAAAAGAACGATGTCTTGAATGGAAGATGTTTGTTTTTGAATTTTTTAGTGGTTTTTTGATCTCAATTCCATCGCAGTTGCTCTTGAAATATTATACTTAGTGGTGTTCAGGGGAACTTCGCGAAGAACTGGGGGAAGGAACATTTGGAAGGGTGGTGAAGACTTACGACAAACAGGTGAGAATCATTATGTTGGACCGGGCTAGGCATGTGTAGTCTTTGCAGAGGGACAAGATGCGAGCAGTGAAAATCGTTCGGAATGTGCATAAGTATCGTGATGCCGCATATTTGGAAATCAAGGTGCTGACAAAGCTGAAACAACTCGATCCTAGTGGAGCTCAGTAAGTGGACTCTTGCTTGCCATTGTCACCATCAATTTGGCTGGTGTACCTTAGTGCGTCACAGTAGTTCCTTCCAAGCTCTGAGTATATTCTTTGTCTGATGAAGCGAGCATTGATTACTGCGGTGCGTTGTGAACAAGTGGCGCAATCTCGACCGGACGAGGACGGATCGATTCCAGGCAGATCCGCTGTCGTTGTAATTCGAATAATGCGATTTCTTACCCGGCTCAGACCTCTGAAATGACCGCGTCAAAGCATATCTGTGATCTGCGGTAGCCAATATTCGGTTGAACTAGCATGCAAAGCGCCTTAATCTCTCATGCATAAAGTTCAGAAAGAAATTGTGGTAGGCGGATCAAGTGTTTGATACAACTTGACGTCAAAGAGAAGTCAATGTGATTGCATAAGTTTAAACCTTCTGGGAATTGGTACGCCACATGTTTGCATAGTCACAGTAGTTAAATCATGCATTTACTGCATGTAGCCCACACTAATGATATCCGGTGATAGATTTAGGAGCAAATATCACCCACGTTGCTTTGCTGTCAGGATATGCAATTTTCAAGTTACATTTTTGCGTGAAAAAGGGTTACTCATATTATCTGGCAAGGATACTTCATACGGGGTTGAAATGGGAGTTTGTTAGTTTCCAGTGATGTACCCGGAGCAAAAGTTCTGGCAGTTGTTATTTTCTTGACTTGACATACCGGATATTATCATGGCTCAATCGGGTAAATCACATATGAAGTGGAAGAATTTGTCGGTGAAGTGAAAGAAAGTTGTTCCCTTTTGATCTCGCCGTTGACCCTCATATGCTTTATATGATATACATGCGTTCTCGAGCCTACAATCAGTTGTACTTTTGGCTTTCTTTGCTTTTTGCATTTAAGGCTGGTTGCTAAACGTGACATATTCTCTGGAGTGCTTATTCAGCAAACCTCTTGTTTTTCTTGAAAGTAGGTCGTTCTAGATTTGTCTGTAAACCAGCAAAAACATTCTTCAAAGTTCTTCCCTGCTCACAACGTGCAGCGGCTATATGCATGCTTGGAATTTTTGAATTCAGCTAGTGTTACTAGGTTTAACACGATTACTATATTTATGATCTCTCCCATGTACATGTTGTTCGGTTCTATATATGAGGTGATTTCAAGTACTTCACCTGTTTTATGCCTGTTGTTACACATAGTGAAGGTGCCTACTTGTATACTTGCTCAACATATCTGACATCTCTGGCATAGAAAACGAATTTGTGTTTGTTGATTTCACATCAAGGTCCCGATATCGAGCTTCATTGAGAAGAGAACCATGAGGTAGAGCAAAAAATCCATCCTGCTTAGAATATGCAGTATGTGCGTGTGACTTATTTCTATCATAAAAGATGACTTTCCTGCTAGTGTGCTTTGCTAATGCAAACGCGTATCTTATTTATGAAGCTGTAATCATTACTGCACGCTGCTTTCTTTCTTTCTTTCTTTCTTTCTCTCTCTCTCTCTCTCTCTCTCTCTCTCTCTCTGTTTCTTCCTTTCTTTCTCGTCATGTCATGTTTCTTATCTTAGTGAAAATTGTGCTTTTCGTGCGCATTGATTGTGCAAAATGCACTTACGTACTATAGTAGGTTTTTAAGTGTACTGAACAGGCTTGCGTCTTGTCGATATGTGTTTCTTGCCTACTTTCACACTATCTGTATATCAGACTTTCAGTTTTGTTTGTCTTCTGAAAACTTCTAGAATTGTTCTGATATTGTGTTCGTTAACGCAATATTGATTTCTACGACTTCATGCAGTATCTTCTGAGCGATATTGTTATTAGAAGTGATGGTGCTGCTATGTATATGAGGATGGACTGCATATATTTTTCATGTCTTTGTAGCCGCTTAATTGAGGTAGCGTAGAATACTGTTAATGCAAAATAGTATGTCATCGCAGTCGAATCTCATTTCTCAGACTTTTCATCTTGATCTTCTTTCTCTAAATCGTTCCTTCATATTTGAAGTGACCTTTTGCTATGTATATCACTGAAGAGGTCCTTGAATACTGATTACAAAACGACCCGCTATATCTGGTAACTTTTTGGACAAAAAGGCATTTTTCTGTTTCCAAATTGCTTGGTCAAGTACTGTCCCAAATGCAGTTTATGTCAAAGTTGCATACCTGGATGTCTGAAATATACATTTTCGATAAGAAGCCAAAGTTTGGTACCAAAAAAAGGTAAAGTTTTGAAGATACTGTTACCATATTCCCGTTTTGGTCAAGCGTGCAATGCCAACTGAGCCCACGGAAGTGCCTGTAACTTCGATCAATGGACCGTTAGCAGATTGGGAAAGCACATCTGGAATCAGTTCCAAAGACACTCCATCTAGGAGAAACCTATATTGGGGAAGCCATTTTGAATCAAATACCATCTCTTGTAATCAGTGGTAGTCCCAGGATTTCCGTTCGGGGGCGGGGGGCAGGGCCCGGCATGAGTCTGTATCTAGGCATTTTGAGAACGAAGTCCCCCTTGACTTTCGCCAAAATTTGCGAAGTCCCCTTTGACCCCAAACCATATCTGTAAAAAACCCTCAAAAAACAAAACGTTGACTAAAAAACGTCGCAATTTTGCGTCTTTTTGGCCACAAAAACGAAGTACAGCTCGTTTCCATACGATCTGTGCCGGACCCTTGGTGGAGGGGGAGGGGGATTTTTAAATGAAGCTGCGTACTACACGTACTTTAAAAAACTTTTCAAAACGAAAAAAAGAATCTGCAAGGCTAAGATTTTTTTTGAGTGCGAGAACATTTTCTGTTGTATACATGTATAACCAACTTACCTACACATTTTTGAGACTTGTGGGTCCTAGGAGCGATGCGCCTCCATCAAATAAAAATTTTGCTGTGTTCTACTCTGCCCCCATCACTTGCATAGCATAGAAGATTTTCATTTCTCGTCCGAAGAAAATATGTGATAATATTTTTGAACGTATCGAGTACAGTTTCTGGTTATCTATAATGTTTCGCTGAGGTTAGTGCCCGAGTGGCATTCGAACATCTTAAAAGCCAAGCAATGAGGCTATAAATAACTGTCAGGTGGGGCAGGACATCTCAGAACACCGTACAGATCTTTTGACAGAGAGCCTTACTCAGCTTGTCATTAGCTTCTTCTGTTTGAGCAAATGCGGCAAAGGTCAATTTTTGTGCTTTCCTATTTTTTCTTTCCGGCGCACTTTCATCCGTGGAAATGGGACTAGTGAGGTGGTAAACCGCATCACCTTCAGAGATGTTGAAAAATTGGTAGTACGCGCAGCTGTAGATTTTGCCGGACAATTTTTGGATAATATGCAAAAGAATGTTGGAATTATGGTGTCAGAAGAGTGGGAGGTAATAACAAATTGCCGTAATGTTTTTTAACAAAATCTCTTTGAAATAAGGTCACATGCTTATGGCCGGTAATCCTCACTAGCATGAAGAAGCGGTGTGTTTGGAAGCACAGCTGTTCAAGGCAGCGTCCAGGCAGATCCGGACCTATGGGGATTTTACGTGGAAAGCACTTTTGGGGCCCTAACTAAGAGCACTGCCCAAACGACAGCGCACGTATGTAGTGCTCTATCGGCTGAGATATTCCCCTCGAAACTGGACCCCGCGATCGTATTCGCATGGATATGGCAGTTTCACGCCAGGACCCACGCTTTGCGCCATGAATCCATGCGAAATACGATCGCGAGGTCCAGTTTCGAGGGGAATATCTCAGTCGTTAGAGCACTAACTGAGCTGCCGGTTGGGCAGTGGCTTAGTTAGGGCCCCAAAATCACTATCCAGTGAGATCCCCATGTGTCCAGACTTGTGGACGCTGCCTTTCAGAACAAAAAGTATTTGGTTTATGAGTGTAGCTCTTCTATGCACTCACTTTCAGCAAAATCATTCAACTTGTGGAACATTTCGACTACCATGGACACTGCTGTCTTGTATTCAAGCTCTATGGCCTTAGCGTGTTCGATTTTCAGGTAAATTATGCGTACACTCTGACTTCCGAGCTTGTTGAAGAATCGCTCTTATTTTTTTGCAGAGGAAGTATAACTTCCGACCGTACCACATAGAGGATACGCGACATATTATGTATCAGATCTGCTATGCTGTAAAGTTTTTACATGACAACAAGTTGACACATACAGATCTCAAACCAGAAAACGTATTGTTTGTCTGCGATGATTCATACACCGAAAAAGTTGGAAATATGGTTAGTTTCTAAATGTACCTTCTCATCGTAAGCGGTTGTAGTATTTGAGCGCGCTTTTGTGATAGCTCTACTAAATGGAGTTTATAGACATTTCACCGGCCAAAAAATACCAACGTTCGACTGATTGACTTGGGTTCAGCAACGTTTAACAATGAACACCACTCCGCAATCATTTCCACTCGTCATTACCGAGCTCCTGAAGTTATCTTGGGTATGTTACGCGCCCCTTAATCACTTTTGTCTATTTTCGAATAATTAGATCTCGGCTGGTGGCAGCCATGCGACACGTGGTCCCTTGGCTGCATTCTGTATGAACTCCATCGTGGCGCTACATTATTTCGTACTCACAGCAATCGCGAGCATTTGGCGATGATGGAACGCGTTTGCGGCCATATTCCTCTACGAATGATTCGCAAAACAAGGTGAGCTTCGGTGACTGTCTGGAATTGGCCGTGTTTGAACTAAAGTAAGCTTTTCCGTTTCTTAAAAAAAGTTCTTGTTGAGGACTAAATACTTTCACAATGATGTGTTGGACGTGACAGGAACTGATGAAAATTTTATCCGAGATACTTGCGCCAATTTAATCGTGAGTCTATACAGTATAAATCTCTGGTGGTAAGTCGCCCTCACCTGTATTTCAGAGGAAAATTGAGGATTCGGACACGGAAGAACGTGAGCTGTTTGAACTTATGCATGCGATGATGCAGTTTGAGCCAGCTGCTCGCATCACCATGTCTGAAGCTTTGCAAAGTGCTTTCTTTGATCGGCTCCCTGAAAATAAAAGGTTAGTTTTGATCTTTTGACATAATTGCTTTCTTTGACTGGTTCCCTCAGAATAAAAAAATTAGTTTTGATCCTACTAAATGCATATTTAAATTTGGAAGTTGTTTGTTAGAGTGTGTATAGAGTTTTAGGGTCGCTAAGTAATGTTAAGAAGTCACCAGCTTTCTATAGAACAGCGGTTCAAACATGCTAGCACTTACTCAAGCAGTGGCAAAGTCCGACTTCTGCCTGACCCTAGCTCAAGAGCACATTTGATATGACTTTGTGTATGGGAGAACTTGGTGAAAATCTAGCCAGTAAAGTCAGATATTTCAGAATACCAGGGTTACGTGCGTCGTGTACGCCGAGAAGACCAGGTATAACGGACCCTTTGCATCGTAGCGTGCGTGGTCACACTGTAGATTTGACCGGAGAGGGAGAAGCAGATTGAAGACACGTCGTATTTTGACTTTTCTACCTCCCCTCTGGCTTCGAACGATTATTTTGAATTCAGGGTGCTCTACATGCTATAATTTGTATTGTATCTAGGGTTGCAGATTGGACTTGTTGTTCTTCTTGATCATGATTCGGGTCTTTCCAAACCACAATTTCATGTTTTATAGCATATTAAGTGAATGCTCCATCTAATTTGCGAATGTGATTTTATAAGTGTTTTATTTGAATGTCGTCATATTTTGTTCGTAATTATCGGGGATTATATGCTTTTTGCGGATTGGACAGAATGACTTTTTCTGTAAAAGATTGCTCGTTTTAATGCGTTGTGTGTATTGTATTGTCTTGTAATGCCCATATTTGATCGCTGTAGATTGTAATATTAGTGTTCGGATGCCGCATAGAAAGTAAAAATCTGTACCAGGTTCTAGACTTATCATGAATAGTCGAAATTTGTCCAACAAATCTGCGCACAATTTTGAAAGTTAGACAATCATTTGTAATAGCTGTCAAGGTGCGTACGTCAACTTGGATTAACTGCATTTATGGGGATTCCTTCACTCGATACAAGCTGATCATTTCGGAGGCAGATTGTAGCACTCGCTTTGGTATCTTCTTGGTCCAGCACCTTGTCCGCTACATAGTTCCAGCAACGACTTCTCACGTCCAGCGCTGTGTACGCGCTTTCCGTCGTAGAGGTTTAGGGGTCACAACGACTGCAGACACCAAGGGTGCGCAAGTCATTGCCTTGCGTTTTGCGCTCCGATGTTAGTCTAGCGTCAGCGCGACAAACGAGCGCGCAGTGCGGCAAGCACCGTCTGTGGTAATCAAGTGCTCCTTCAAAACTATCTAATCTGGCTGCTTTCGGTACGAGGAAGTTGAATAGCTGCCACGAACTCGACGTAGACACATCTCGCTTGGAAACTTCATGGTAAAATCTGCAATGCAACTATAACGAGTATGTGTTTCTACGATAACAAAGACTGATAAGCTCACCCAGTCTTGTCTGCTCTGTTTTCCAAAAGACCATTCTTTTGTATTTGTTAGAAAAGTTTTGGGAACACCATAAACGTAGGCAGAACTATAAAACTGTTGAATTTTGATCAGAATCTATATGATGTTACCTGTTCGGGTCTTTAAGTAGATATTAAGGACTACAGTGGCGAATTTCGTAGTGCTTAAACTGGGAAAATTTTGATGATGCTTTGCATTTGTTTAAGTTTGCGCTGGAACTCGCTACTGTTGAACAGGAAAGAAGAGTAACGAAAATCTAAAACAGTTTAATATTTTGGGACTATGATATGGTTTGAGTTTGACAATACTCAAACCTAATGCTACCTCTTTCAACATCATAGTTCTGTGATACAGTTGGTCATCTAATCCATCTTGCAACACAAACTCTACTTTTGAAGCTACTAAATTATTACCTTTCAAGTGATCAGTTCTTCTGGTTCCAAGCAGGTGTGCCCTTGATTTGGCAACCACGCTGTGAACCTACAAGAGATGAGGAAATAATACTATTTCCCAGAGAGGAAGTGTGCGGGTGCGGGAGGACCACCCTGGCACTGAGCAAATATGGGGGCAAAGTAGCGCCGCTGACCATCGTGCGCCGTCTCGTACCCTCTACGATCGTGCAACGACTTTTCGCTCCCAGTGTCATGTCATTTGAACAGCGAAAGGATCTTTGGTTAAAGCTTTGCGTTGAATTTTGTAGAGTAAGTCCTGTATATGCTTACTATCCTACCATATCATTCCTTCCTTGATCAAAAAAGTAACTAGTGATCAAAAAATACATTTAGTTTCGGATATTATGCAATGTACCTTTAGACCTCATTTATGTATGTAGCAATATCGGTACAAATGCCCTCTGTTTTTTTCGCTTTGCTAAAGAACTCATTGCACCCACATACCCTCCAATGATCATTATTCGGACTTGATCTTACCGGTACTTCAAAGAACCAAGTTCTTTATAAGAAATCTTTTTGAGAACTAATACCCCTCATTCCGTGGATATTACGAGCCAGCAGTGAAGTGTGAGCCGATTGCGATCGCTCAGGTGAAGTTGTTTATTGGTGAACTTCAGTGCTCTCGTTTTGGTGGTGGTAGGCAGTCAAGGACGTCACTTCTGCCATATGTCGTAGAGTTTATGGAGGCAGTAGCTTTGCTCTTCGAAAAAGAGGTTCCATTATGGTGCAGAAACTAGGAATCTCCACTAAGACTTTGCAGGACTGTCGTTTGAGTACAAATCTCAGAGCAGCTCTGCACTGTGAGGATGCACAAGCCGCTGATGTGAAGAGCGGACAGGCGCAAGGCAAACGTCGGCCCTAACGCGGAAACTTTTTCTGCGCTGGTCTACCTGGCAGACCTGCGCACAAGTTGACATCTTCTGGCTGCAGTCACTCTTAGGTCCCTGACAAAGACTTTCCTTTTCCTCTTTCCATGGAAAACATCTCTTTCGACCTCCCTGGAAAATATGGTAAAGCAGAAGATATCGAAGTTACTAAGTTGGAATGAAGAGACAGAAAGGTATGGAGGGAGAGAGAAAGAGCGAGGAGGGTGTAATTCTTTGACTGTTTGGTGTGTGCCTTTGACCGACGAGCCGCACGCACACGACTGCCTATGTACATATCGGGGCATTTATGCTTCGTGACGCAACCCACCACGCCGCTCCTCATTCTGCTGTTTTCGCCCCCCAACTCTCTTTCGTACACATTACACACTCACTCAGTCTTTCAATCTTTACCTTTAACCATTCATCTTTCACTTATTATGGATATAAAGTGACTAAGGACTACTACAGTATCCCGATTGTATAGTAAACTTGAGATTCCCATAGTTGCCTTGTTGTCATGACTAATTGCTGCAGAAAACTTTCTAAGACTCAGCAGATCTATTTGCCAGACAGTCTATTTCTGTTGTTTACAAGGTGAAAGTAAGTTGGCTCAGCTTTATCAACGATGCGTCCTGGTACCCACCATCTCACCTAGTTTATGCTTATCATCATGAGTAACGTGTTTACAAAGTGCTGTTCTCAAAACCAACAAGTTCTTTGCGTTTCTTGACTTCTGGAACTACCGAGCATACTCCCAGACAAGCTGTTTCGTGCGCACAAGAGCGCGATTGAAAACAACGGAGAGAAACAGCTGTGAATCTCTAGGTGGTACGCATGTACAGAAGGTAGCGTTGCGCCGCATGAGCGACTTAAATCTCGAAGACTGCCTTTAATGGCGCTGCTGCGGAGAGGGGGGGGGGGGCAGCGGGGGGAATCACGGATGTTTTGCCGGCCACCGATCTCGCGGCCTCGTTTCGAGCTGGCACGCCCGGCTGACCCGCTTTCGATGCTTCGGTGCGGTAGGGCGGGGATGGAAACTCTTAGTCAAGAATCGCGCTTTTGACAGGACCACAATTAGTGGATTTACTCAGTTCTGCTTTGATTTCTCGCTCCCAGCATTCCTGACGCTTGCATCATTGCTTCATGGGATTTCCTGTTAAGCCATGACATGTTTTCCCGACATTTCTACTTCATGCTATTTGAATTTTGCTGAACGCCATCATCTTTTCAGTCCGTAAAATTGAAGTTTGAACTCTCTTTGTGATCTGTTGCCCCTTCTGGCGATTTCCTTCACTGTAGTTTAAAGTGTCTTGCATTAATGAGAAGATATCTAACGCTTTAATAGTTTTTTTTTCGTTGTCGATAACATAAAAATGATTGTGGCAAGTCACCTGCCTAATTGGAGGAAGCCGCTCAGTTCTAAACCTAAAAACTTAGACTTTCAATTAATGTCCTTACCACAAACGTGCAAGGACAACCCTGCTTTTACCAAATAACTTCAGCGATTTTCTTCCCTGGTGCCGGAACGAGCTGTGCACTTATTTCGTGGAAACATAAATCATGAAATATTTTTGGAGAGCTAATTTAGGTTTGTAGATTTCTTTCTGGCTGTGATGTGCCTTCCAATTTATGTTTACGTACGCTTATTTGAGCAAGAATAGGCACGTCTAGCTGCGACCGGAGACTTCCGGGAAAGACACGAGTGGGAGATCGGTTATCAGTGCCGCTCAGTTCAAGTCGGTAATGGCAAATATGAATCTGTGTATGCGGTAGATTGGTGTCTGTGTGAGTGTGTCTTCTGTCGAAGTCTCTGCAATCAATGCCATTCGCGACGTAGACCCATTTTGGTGCCGGGTGGAAGGCCGTTCGCCTGCCGCCACTTGTGGCTGCAATTCGTCGGCCGCTCGACACACCGGCGATGGCCTAGATCCATTCGCCTAGTTCAACTCAAAGTCTCGACTCCTATCCCACGCAGAACTTGCTTCCTTCCACTTTTTGGAATGCACGACTGCACCTACTCCATGAGGTGTTGGCGGCTGCACGGTAGCACTATGGGCTAGTAGCGTGTTCTGTTTGGACACTGGTCAAGTTGAACCAGTACTTGTGCGATTTCTCTTGATGAAAATGGTACCAATCGTCATTATTGATGTTCCCTAAAATTTTTTAGAGGAGTTCAAACTGCATATCTTCGAAATAGTGTCAGGATTCCGTAATACCTGTCTGTAATGTTTAACTAATTCCTCAAAAATGTAAAGTGCCAAATTTCATGCACATTCCAGCGAGTATTTTTATCCGCTCCACCTCTGCTCGTGTGTCCATTTGTCGAACGAACGAACATTTTGGCTGCAGCAATCCTATTTCACTAAGCATTCGCTCACTCACTCACTTTCCCGAATCTCCAGGTCGCGCTTTCGCCCCTTGCGGCGTTGCGATCGCGCGTAATTCTCCGCGTCCGCGATATCTTTTTTGCGAGCATGTTTTTCAGACGAATCTATGCCATGCGAAACTGGTTGCTGGCTGTGCGCTCGGCCATTGTGGCCTACTGTCCATTAGACCTCTATACGTTGCCAAGTCACGCAATGCCCTCTCACAATCATCAGACATTTCACGACTCGATACTTCGTCACTATCACCTGCCCATCTGATTTGTGATTTTTTCCAACAGAGCTGCCCTGTCTCTTAATCGCTTCATAGTTCCGTTATCGTATTCCTATCTCATCAGCTGATTGTCAAACTTATCGGAATCGATCCCGACGACTCAATCAGCTGATCGTTCTGCGGTACTCGATTTGAGTTTTACTTCGTACAGCTATTTTGCACTTTACATGTCAGTTGATCAGTGCTGCCAACCGAACAGTCGCATGCCTGCTTCAAACTTACTTGGCACTTCATTCTCGCTGCATGAATAACTTACTCTACTTGCCAATTCTCTTTCTTGCTCGTGCCGTGTTGTTGGCCATCTAGCTCCATTACGCTATTCCTTTTTCTTTTCGCATCTGTTGATCTTGTTTACAATTTTTGGAATAACGCGTGCCTCTTAGATGTTGGGAATTGAGAAGGCCGGGTCATCAGATCTTTCATCGTCTTCGACAGAGACGTCAGCTATTTCTCCCATCAGTATGATAAGTATACCATCATCTCCGGACAAAGACAAGAAAAAAGTGCGTTTCGCGCCCAGTGGCGACGTAGATTTCAGCATGTTATCCGTTTGATTGTGCATGTTTCTTCAAGGTCTCATTTGTGCGCTACAATCCAGACATACCTCAAATCGTTACTTCCTTCAAAGGTTATCAAAAATTAATGTTTCAAGGATATAGGTATAATATTTACCAGGTAAAAGTTGCTCTTTCTCACAAATCTCCAGTTGCTATAATTTTGCGAACTAGGTGATGCCAGAGCGAAACTTCAAATCGTGGCGCTGCGTCTGTGCAAAGAAGATTCCGGATAATGGTTCATGGTGTAAGTGCCGTGCGGAGACCACAATGGATGACCAAAGGGCAGTGACAAAGGGCGAGCATAACCATCCACCCAAACACTTACTCGCCGAATTGGAATTCATCAAGGTAGGAGCCTCAGTCCAAACTTCCACTTCCCACGTCTTCTCCCATATTTGCTGATTCCTACCATCGTCCTCCTGGCCTTCTAAAACATTTCGCTCTTTTACTTAGTGGCTTTTCATGAGTAAGCAGCTGTGCGGAACTATTCTGTGTCCAGCGTGACCGTGTGTCCGGTGTCAGGTGACAATAGTTGGCCTGGTGCCAGCGCCGGTCTGTCGTTTCTGTCATTTGGAAGTACTTGACAGAAGTCGGTAACGAAGAAATATTGGCATCGATGACGGATATCGAGGTGCAATTTGCGTTTCATTAGTGCGGGCATTTTTTATTGAAAGATCTGGCGGGAGGGAGGGGGGGGGGGGGAGGGGGGTAGAGAGGCAGAGGTGCCACTATCTGCCATTGTAACTGGAGCTGGATTGCTCACATAAAATCTATTGCGAACTTGACTTGCACTGAAGTAATTGGTAGTAAAGATATTGAGTGTGATAGTTAGGAGTATTCATATTCCTGGTAACGCGATATCTCACAATGCGGATCTGTTTTGACCCAATCACGAGTGAAAGACGAGGAAAGACGGTGACGGAGAGGGAGCACTGAAGTCAATTAGATTTGTAAACCAGTTGTAGGTGTGCAAGAGTCTATTGGCTCAGCAACAAATTCATCAAAGTTCTGAGTTGTGTTCTTCCATGAAGAAAAAATGGGAAAGATGAAACTCTATTCTCAACAATGAGCATTTGTGCTAAACACAAAAGCGAAATTCGTGGAGCTGCCTCCACCTTGTGGTCCAGTTTTGCATAGATTACGGTGCGCGAATATATGCCACACGTTTGGAGTACGGATCAAGGTCGTGTATTTTCTCAGCGGCACAATGACAATAACAGATGAGCGAGAGATGGTGAATGTGAATAACTAGCATGCACGTTTAGTCCCAACTCTTCATGGCAGCTCTGGAAAATCCTGATCTCGATGCTGGAGACCTTGTAAATCAAGCATGCGATTACCTCAGTCATGGAGTTGGTAGGTTTTATGCTGCAGGCTTGAAGTCTGTATCAGTCAGGTGCTCAAAAACTTCTTGCAGAGTTCGAAAACAAGGAGAGTCTACGCAAAAGCATTCAACTAGCACGATCAAGAGTAGGCAAACCGCGCAAGCCTAGGGCTCGACCGGTGAATCCGCAGAAGAGGAAGCTGATGATGTTTGACGGGCTGGATGTGAGTTTTGTTTCCTGTCCGACTCCTACCCAAGTGAAAAAATGACGTGACTCACTTAAGGACATTTTGAAGACGGAAGAGGATGATGACTATCCAATGCAGGTCATGAACGACAACATCATGGCGAGTCTAATGAAGGTACCCAAGACGGAAAGGTCCAATACGGTGAGCTATATATATATATATATATATATATATATATATATATATATATATATATATATATATATATATATATAATGAAGAATTTTCAAATTGCTATGTCGGCCAAATGAGGCAGCTGATCCTCGGAGTTGATATGTTTGACAATATCGAGCGACAGCGATTGTTTTGAAAATAAACAGAACAACTAGTGACTTGACACTAGCAGATGACAATGTTGTAGCCCTCTTCCCAAAATGGGATGCTAGGGTGAACTGCTATAAGCTCAAGATGCTTACTCTTGTATCAAACTTTCCGATATCATTCCAATTGGCAACCAATCCTGATACTGGCTTATTCACATAAAATACACACTTTTGTAAATGTAAAAGAAAACCGCGTTAATCTCATTTTTTGGCAGCCATGTGACGCCGGCCTGCCCCTATTCAACAATGGTCTTTCAATGGTGAAACCCGAATCTCCATTTCGCCAAACTGCAGCCGTACCTCCTCAACCAAAACCTGTAAACGATGTGCCAAATTCTCTACTACAAGCCAACCTGCTCAACGGAATGTGAGTTACTTTGCGAATTAGCGAGATAGATATATCTGTAGATTTTGGAAAGCAATGAATATCGTCAAATTTGCAACTGTCAAAGAAATAGAAGTAATTTCCAGAGGCAAAATCTGGAGGGAAAACTGGAATGTCGTTTAGAAATAGTATTTTTTCTGCAAGTCAAAGACTTAAATCTCAAAAATTAGGCAATCTAATGCGGATCTTTTTGGTATATAAACATCGTGTATATAATTGAAAAGTTATTCACTGTGTCCTTTGGTCATACGCATAAGTACTGCGCTTTACAAAACTAATCTCTGCCATCACTTATCAACATACCCCGGTTGGAGAAGAAGCTCGTGCTTTGCTTCGTCTTTATCTAGTAGAAAAAACGAAGTGAAATAAACATTGTCTTAGTATCCAAGCGATCCATCAGTTTTGTGCATCACTGTGTCCTAATTTCGGGAGACTCTTTCTTTTGGAGACAACCATCCCCAAAACTCTTGGGTTGTATGTCGAATTCTTGGCACAAGAAAATCATGGGGCAGTGTAACGGTGTGTGAGACAAAGTCAGACGGGTGCAGGCCCTTTCAGAAAGTTTGTGCGATGTTTGTTTCGCTGCACCCGGCGCCGCTAAAGTGTGCATGTTGCAACATATAGACAAGAGAAACATCACTGTTTCAAGCGTGTAATATATCTGTGTCAACATCTATAACCATGTTGGACGTGACAAATGTACAAAAGTGAATGTTGCACGCACAACTCGTTCAATTCTCCCATCTTGCCCCACCTCACTTTGAGTCTGGCCAATTGCATCAGACGTGCTAACCAATGAAAGTCGCGCCCCTAAGCGACCGTTAAAATGGCTGTTCTCCAAGCCAGACAAGCTTGGGCTTGTATTGACTCTGGAAGCTAATAATAAACTTTAAATCAAACAACATAAGCCGTGGCACACTAGAAATTGTGTAAATCATTCGAATCATTTGGAAGCTAAGGAATTAATATCAATTTCTATAAAATTCACTGACTATACTGTTTTTCAGCACAGCCCCATGGTTGAGCGTTGTCGATCCAGATACGATGTCTTTGTTTTGGGCAAACATCTTGAGCCCTGGTAGCATGGACGTGCTCTCCACGTTTGCGGCGTTATCCAAACCGATCATGGCTCCTCAGCCGAAACGAGAGGTGAGGCTCTTTAATGTAAACCGGAGTTCTTTGCGAGCACGCAGTGCAGTAAAATTTCATCACTCCGAGGAGCGTTTGCACCAATGATAGAAAAACGTGTTTACTTGGAATTTGCTCAAAATTTTTTTACTGATTTATACTGGTTTATAGTCAGACACGTACGCACCTATCCCGATCCCACCTTTCTCGGTCATTTCGAAGCATAAAGTCTGCTATGATAATGATTCCTCTCGATCACGCAAATCTATTACATCATTTTTGAAAACTGCTAGGGTTAGTCTTATTGGAGTGAACCTTAAAGAACGTAGTAATCAGATGGAGAGGAATGTTGTTTGTGCTGCTGACGAGGTGTTCGTGCACTGCAAGCTGAGGATAAAAAATGCGCGCAGCCGCACTTTGCATGATGCGCCGAAAGTACAGAGTGTGCTCTTCATAGACCGACTCAAAGAGCGGTACTGCCTCAGGTTAATTGAAAAAACGCTGAGTTAAAATCTTCAATTACCTTGGCATTAGAGTCGCACTCCATGGTCATAATGCTTAGCATTAGAGTTATACTCTCCAGTATGATTGCTTACAGCCATTAAGGAGTTCATCCACAATTCGAGCTCGAAACGAGTGTGGTGACAACCAATTTCGTTCTCTGTCAGTACATGATTTTGTCCGGCCTGGACCACCTGTACTGTGCAACCTTCCCGAGTCACTCCTTTTGGTTATTCTAGAGCGCTAGGTGCAGCAGTCGCGATCATAGTTTGCAGTGAGCTGTTGTTTCACTTCAAGTTCCTATTACCTGTATTTGTCTTTTTAAGCTTCCTGTGCCACAAATATGTAGGCCGTAAATTGTGACTCGCAACGACAAAGCAGATCAGCATGGGGGAGGTCGGAAGGCTACGATACGCGCAAATAGCGAGCAAACTAAGGTCCGCCCACTTGCACGCCGCGCCACCATATCGTGTCAGATCTGTATAGGTCAAGCCCCCAACTACCTGGTTTTTGCGCCGAATTGCGAAGGCGGAGCGCCTGTTTGACGCGAGTTCCAGATTGTGGCCTTCCGCACCACACCTGATCAGATGTGCTGGTGCACTTTGAAATCTGGAAATAAGCGATGTTTCAAAATGCTTATGTGGCGGAAAAAAGTGGTCAAATTTGATGATGCGTCGCAAAGCATTGATTTTTGGCATTCCAGATTCCTGTAACTCCAGTAGCTTCAAGTCGTGATAATGTTCCTCTGCAGTTGAACTTCTCCACACCCCCATCGCCGCTGAAGATGGACGCTGGATGTCAAACTGTTGAGGTGAGCCAGCACAGTGCGTTTCGCGCCCTTGCCCGACTACCATGTCCGTTTCAGGACATCAAGGTCTCCCAATGTCTTTCATCTGGTTGCGGGTGTCGAATAGTCCGAGTCTGCTGTTGTGAAAGCAGCACTTGTCACAATCGACATGCTTTGTGTTGATTTGCGTTTCTCTAGTTTCGTCTCTTCTCTCCTCTCTCATGTGTTATCCAGCGAGCGTGCAAGTTTCTTTCCTCTCCTCTGCGCACTGAAAAAATATCACTTTTATCATTGTTTTCTGTTACAAGCACTTTCTGGCTGACCATTGTTATTTTATTATTTTTTCTTCCATTTTTCTGTATACTGATTTGAGATTCCTAACGCAGGTTGTGAGTGGCAATATAATAATTCTGCAACTCGTTTTGAGGCCTTATTTTTGTGTCTTTGATTCATTTGAAGCCATTTGATAGTGTCTTTTCTGGTGTGTCTTCGTTTGCATGTGATGACCATTATCTGAAGCTGAATGTGATCTTTCGTGAATCTTTCATTAATTCGAGGGCTTTTTCGTCCGGTCAGCAATTAATTTCTCCCAAATATCAAGTGATAGCTCAAAACCGGTAGATCCCATTGTAGGTGCTTTCAGGAGCCGTCATTTTACTTTATATTCATCTTGTTTGCTTTCCACTTTCATCCTTATCGAGTACTTTCTTTCATATGTGCAACTGTAACTTATGTATCTAACACAGCTACCTCAGCGAGCTCTTTCCTCTCGAAAATCTCCGCATCAAGCGCTGAGGTAGCCATCTCCTATATGAATATCCTGAACATTCTAGCGGGTGGTGATAGAACGATTATTACATAATAAGAGCACAATAATAATTGAGATGTGACATTTTGTTTATTAATGCTGCCTCTGAAATATGTAATTACTCTCGAATTGTTTACCAGATTAATACCGATGCAATAAAATAATTCTGCTGTAAATTTCTACATTATCCTAATCCGCAATCTCGGCTGGGAGAAAATTTTGAATGGATGTCTCTTACGCAAAACTGATAGAACTTCATGGCTTCATGGTACAGTGTACTACTGATTGTAGACAGGTGTTCGAATTCTCAGTTTGTTACGACAATCGCTCATCTTAAGGTGAGAATACACTGTTGCAAAAAGTAAACATGATTTCGGTAACTATCTGAAAGATCCAAAACTTTTCCTATGTCAAATATGAACAAAGCAATGGTCAGATATTTATAATTATCACGTTGGTAATCATGTAAATCAACGTCGTTGCTATCCGAGATCTGGCGACAATATGAGAGCACCACCTTCTCCGTCCGAAGCGATCGGCGGAGAAAGCAAAGACGGGCTGAGCACGAGGGCCGAGTGGTGAAGGGGCGAGAGGACTAATGGTGCCAGCAATGTTGGAGACAGTATCACTGGAGAGCCCAAACTGGGACTCAGCACCAGTGGGGACAGCACGAGCGGTGAGAGAACCAAGGGATTAAAAAGCCCCGGAGAGAGTATATACGGTACCATCAATAGAGGGCTCAGAATCGCCGGGCTGAATATGCCTGGACTGAGAACGAAGGGAGACATAGCAACGGGGGATAAAATAATGGGTACAAAAGTGAATGGAGAGAGAATGATTGGGCATAGTGCCCATGGAGATGCGATAAGAGTTGAGAATAGCCACGGTGAGAGTATCAGAGGTCCAATGAGTGTGGGAGACGATACGAAGCTTGATAGAATCACCGGCGAGAAGACCGAGTTGATGTTCGTGAGTGGTTGTCCTGAAAATAAGGCATGTTGCTGGCATATTGTATGTGTTTTTCTATCAACAACTCCATTCTGAGTAATCGAGTGTCGAGTATGCAAGTAGAAGTTGTGCGCTCAGTTTTGTACCTTACATCCGACACAGCTGTAGTTTGTTTATACCTTCTAGACTCCAATATGAAGCTCGTAGTATTTTGAAGATACAGAATAGTACATGTCGAACTGTCGTCAACTTTACCTATAGCCTGTATTGTTTGAATCAGAAAAAGACTAATTATCGTAAATCTCGATACAACTTTATTGCAAACTAGCTGGCTTACCCGGCTCCGCCGTATGTTCCGAATAGAAAATTCCATTTCTCAACCGATCCGGACCAAACTTGGCACACATACACTTCGGGCCCCGGCGGGTGTCACAGTCCACTTTTCGTTATCGATCGATGTCGATTTTATCGATTTTTTTTGCAAAATTTGAGCTAGGGGGCTGGAATTTGGCAGAGGGGTGTAATCGAGCATGCTGATCACCCCCACGGGGTGATCAGCATGCTCGATTACCCCCCCCCCTGTGCCAACTCCCAGCCCCGTAGCTCAAATTTTGCAAAAAATCGATAAAATCGATATCGATCGATGACGAAAAGTAGCCTATGACACCCGCCGGGGCCCGAAGTGTATGTGTGCTAAGTTTGGTCCCAATCGGTTCAGAAATGGAAATTTCTATTCGGAACATACGTACACACATACAGACATACAGACAGACATACAGACATACAGACAAACAAACAGACATTCAGCTTTATATATAAGATGTCATCTTCTGCTAATTTATATGAGTCAAAAACCGTTTGCTGGTCGTGAGCAAAAGTTTACTGTCACAAAAGTTGTTTTAATATATACTGTAGTATATAGTATAATTTTCAATTCAATGTTTTTGATAAATCAATGTTGTAATTCTCAGAAATTGTTTCAAGTCATGTCAAGCCGTGCTCGGTAAAACAGTAAAGTCTGGTATGAATTCCGCCACTAACTCATTGCAACTTCTGTACTTTCATAACTTTCAGGCGGTCCCAGGATTTCGGACCGGGGAGGAGGGCGGCAAAAATTTTTTTAAATGAAGGTGCTCCGAAAAAATCTTTGGGGTGCTTCCCGAAATTTTTGCAGGCTCACAACTCCTAGAATCCTGGGAAAGAGGGCGTGGCGTCAGCCATGCTCCCGAAAAAAATTTTTTACAAGGCTAATTTGAATTTCTAAAAAATCTAAAAAATTATTTCGATTATTTACAAGAATAAACAAGTCACTTGCACATTTTTATAACCCATGTAAGTAAATTTTTAAAATTTCGCGGACCATTCTCGGGAGGGGGGCCATTCTCGGGAGGGGGGCGCGACCCGCCACTGCTGTCAATGTATTCGTTTCGGTCAGCTCACCTTTTGTACCCATGTAGGCTTCTCAAAAAGTTTGATCAGCTTTCTACAAGGAAACTTATCAGAGGTGAGAACAGGGCTCGGCACGAGGTGGCTATTGGAAAATGCGAAAAACGAAGTCCTCCTTGAATTTCCCAATATTTTACGAAGTCCCCTTTCACCCTCAACTATAATCCTAAAAAACCTCCAAAAAACGAAATGTCGAGCAAAAAAAACGTCACTAATTTTGTGTCTTTTCGACCACAAAAACCGTCTTTGCTTTTTGTCCCATAAACGATGTCCAGCTTGCTTTGCAAACCATCGTGCCGAGCTCTGTGACACTTGACCACCTAATTCGGAAGGTGCAGAATTGACAACTTGAGGCGCAAAACTGCACCAAGACTCACCATGATTTACCAATGGGAAGTAGAAGAGAACTTTTTCTAGAAAATTCACTTACACTCGCTTGTACCCGAAGCTCGAAAAGAGAAGGAAACAAAAAGAAAACAAGCACGCAAGTCGTAGAATACCGCGCGCGTTGTGCAGTACATATTTAGCCACAAATGAGTTGACTACGCGAAATTCAGCTGACCGACAAAACTTGCTGCCACCGTTGGTGAGCCAATCAGATCGATCTTCATGCGTCGACCGTAGTCGGACATTCCGATAGCCTGCAGGCGTATTAGGCTGATGAGTCGTCTCTCGATACTCTCCGCACTTAGTCGCCTGATCCGACGACGACTTGATTCATCATAGTACGGTGACGTCGGACCGTACACCAGTTTTCTCTGTTGATTCGTCATGATAGCGAAACCACGCTTCTCGAACGAATCCATCTGGAATTTTCTCGAGTGATTACTTTGTTCGACACTGATTGTGCTGATCTTTATCATTCCAGATAATCCATATTATCTTATGAACGCATAGTTTGGGTCTAGATTGTAGCGCTGTACTATTTGACTGTAGCACAAGTACTTTCCACCGCAGCTGCATTCGATTATTTTACGGGTGAAAGACTGTGAAACTAAGTTTCATTATGAGGAAGGTCATGAATGGTCATTTTCTACTCTTATAGCATATTGTAAGCTTTTTTCCACCTCTCTTCCTCCTTTTTACGCGAAATAGGTGAGAATGCACGCGGATTGATGGAAGCGGATCGTGACTGAAGGAAATATCTTGGAGGCAGAGGAAGAAAATGTAAAGCATGATCTGTGATCAAGTTTTGTATTATTATTATTTTGATTCAAACAGGTTATTACGTAATAAGTGTGTGTGTGTGTGTGTGTGTGTGTGTGTGTGTGTGTGTGTGTGTGTGTGTGTGTGTGTGTGTGTGTGTGTGTGTGTGTGTGTGTGTGTGTGTGTGTGTGTGTGTGTGTGTGTGTGTGTGTGTGTGTGTGTGTGTGTGTGTGTGTGTGTGTGTGTGTGTGTGTGTGTGTGTGTGTGTGTGTGTGTGTGTGTGTGTGTGTGTGTGTGTGTGTGTGTGTGTGTGTGTGTGTGTGTGTGTGTGTGTGTCGTTCCAACAGCGGCTTTGGCAAACCTTAGAAAGTGTGTGCGAAGTGCGCGAAATGGTCTTGCGGCTTTTAGCCTACATAAGTAAAACTGTAATCAAATTTTTTGCAATGTAGATTTGTTTGGCATGTGCATCTTTAAGACAATGACTTTAGCATTTTAGCGTAAGAAATTATCAAAAGCCGTGTTTTTGCGAGAGCGGCGTCAAAAAAAAGAGATTTTTAAAGGGTTTACGTTTACCAGAGATCAAAAAAATTTTTGCTCAGAGATATAGCTTAACATGGTTATGGTCATTATGGCAATTAAAAAGCAATATTCTATTCGGTAGCCAATTCAAAAGCGTATATTCCTCGGCACAGAGGTTCTCTTCCCCCAAAGCCATATCGTTTACAAAAGCTTTTGGAAAGAGTAGTTGTTTACAATTCATTCCTAATGGCCAGCATAGCGGGGTGAGTTTCAAAGCCATCATTACGCGAGTACGAGGAAAGCATTTAGATAGTAAGACCAGTGCGAGCCTCTGCAAATTTTATATCAAATACTTACAGTTTATTTTCTATATTCAATCAGTATTTGATCAGTAATTTGATCGATAGACTGCAATTACCAGGTTCTTGTCAAATCTGATTATCTCTCTGAAACGAGTCTGCAGAAAAGATTCTTCGTCCCTTATCAGAGATATGGTTTGAACGAATGTGAAAATTAGCCTACCTGATTGGGAGTGTATGATTTTTCCATTAGTTGAATGACTTCGATTTTCCGTCTCTCTTTTTTTCCAAGCGTTTCTTCAACGTCATCTATGGTCATTTGTGCGTGATCATTGAGCATCAAATCACGCTTTTCTATTTGTTCCTAGGGATGAACATTTGATACTGCATTCGTGATTGGGCTTTTTGTGTTTGCTAGCCTGTTACCAATGTTGCTCGCATAGCGGAATTCGCTCCAGAAAGCTCCATGAGTATTTCCAGCAATGCATTTCGCTCCTGTTGATCTTTCTGTTCACTTCGAAAAATTAGATCTGGTGATAGCAAAGAGACCTAAACAACAGTGAAGCGATTACTTATGTTTTAGGTCCCTTAAACTCCTTTGAACCTGGTTTTATAGCTGACTGAAACTCACATCCTCTTCCACTCCCTTGTGGCTTCCAATTCGGGGGGACAAAATTCGAACCGTCTTGTTTCCAACGTTGTGACCTGCTGCAGATGCAGCGATTTTTACGCCTGCAAGATTTTTTTTACTTCTATTTCACACAACTCCAAGAAGGCACATCAAGAAAGTGGGATCGCATCCGAAACAAACATATAGCAGGTGCTCTAAAATTTTTTAGAACAAGCTTTTCGAAAGCTTGGATTTACGACTCCAAAATCATGTAGTTCCTACAAGGCGGAGGAGAATGGAGTTGCCTGTAAATCTGTGAAGAGCTCCTGAAAAGCTGTAACCACATGTATTGTCTGCCGTCCAAACCTGGTTTTTTCTACGATTTTTAAGTTTTAATTGATCTCTCCCCCCCCCCCCCCACCTAGCGCTCTAGTAGAAGCAGCTTTTTTCGTCAACCCTTTTCGTGCACTAACTCTCGACATAGATAGTAAGCCCTACTATATTCTTGCAGTTTTATGGAAACCAAATAATTTCGAAATTAAAAGCAACCCTTTGTCGGACTTATCTGTAAAGACTTATCTATCAGAATATTTGTTTTGAACTCTCACCAGAACTACATTTTTGTTCCAATAGAAGTTTGTAAAATGACAGTTGATGAAGTTTGGCTAGTCTTCGCTTTAATTCCATCCCATCTTTCTCGTAATGTAGGCCGTCTGCGCTGCGCACGGAGAGCAACGCTGTTGCGTACATTGAAGGCAGTTCACGACTGGAAGAAGCGCAGAGAAAACAGACGGCTAGAGTGCACGAGGAAAGAGGAGTGAAGCGCAATACACACCTTGCGCACTCTCCGCGCCTTGCGCGGACGGCCTATATCACTTCTTCAGCCATCGTTCGGCTGTCTTACAGTTTTCGCGTGAAATATATTGTGTTCGGTGTAAGTGCAGAATGCTTGTTACATATTTCACGCCTTTTTTTCCAAATTAAGCGTATCATGCCGGACGATGGTTGAAGGAGTGCTTTTCGTCCAACCCCTTTAAGTCCGCATTTACTCGAACAAACACCTCGATAAATCATCCGATTGTGATATAAATAGCAATCCTTATCACCAGATCGTACTGTCTCGCCTTGCTTGGCTTTCGCACGAATGAAGCTAATAGTAACTGGTAAAGACAGTCGATATACGCGAAAGCCTTAGGTGAAGGAGATGCCATGCCCGGAAGTATTTCTTAACGTAAGAAATCTCTACAGAAAAAGACCTCAGTGTGTCACCATTTTTTGACCAATTAGCCTCCGCTATGTTTTCGCTTTTCGTGTAAGCAATTTTGGCGCCGAGGCGAGTGGAACAAAACAAGAAGTGAATGCTTTAAAATTTATTCGTATCCCTTATTGATGATAATGTATTTTGTAGCCTATATGAGTCATACCTTTGACATGCATCATCACTGTAGAACTCTGGCCAGTCGAAAGAAATTTGAAATATAAGATGAGATTCGAAGAATCTGGAAGCGCCGAGAAAGACGCCCACGTTGATAACTAACGAGGGGAGGATACCTGGTGACCGTGGCTTTTTGCAACGAAATGTATACCAGTAGGTGCGTTTTGGAACGCTGATTCTGAATCTATGTTCATTATCTGCTGTGCGACTCCCTGAACGAAGTTATGGACTTTTTTCCATATTGATTTTGCGAGATTTAGGTAGTTGAAATCATCAGTATCCAGGCTTTTTAGACTCTGATGTATCGGTGACAGGTTTCCTGAGCTTAACATGAAGCTTTAGTTCATCTCTACGCTCTTTTGTAGTGCGTAAGCGAACATTCTAACGATATTGGTGAATCCTGCATCAAAAACAGTGCAAATTTTGGTGACAAAAAATGTTCATAACTTCTTTTGGAAGAGCCCACAGCAGATACCGAAAGCAGAATTGGAATCAGCGCTTCAAGATGCACTTAATCGTGTACGTTTCATTTCGAAAGGCCACGGTCACTAAGTATCCTTTCCTTGTAAGTAATTGCAGCGCTGTGGAGGGGTCCCATTGCGTGAATTTCTTCACGGTTTTTGGAACTTGACTTTGACATATGAGAGAGCGCTACAGCAGCTGCAAGACAAGTGCAGAAGGTTAAGTAACGAGCTCAGATGTATGTCAGTAAGTGTTACGCATCTTTATTTAAACCTTAGTCTTTGGAGAAGTTCGAACATTTGTTAGAAAAAAGTTCGATTTCATTCGAAAAGAAAAAAAAGGATTGCCGCTCGCAAAATATTGCACCTTGCACCACCATCAAAAAGATCAGCTTTCAGAGAGCACAGTATTCCACGCAAGTGGATAGTGAGAATACTGAAACATACGAGTGGGATCAAAGAAGTCCGACCTTCTTCATTTTTCATTTCATAGTAGTGCGTAGGATTCGCGATATCTATGCCCAGATGGGATTTTTCCAAAGATGTGTTACACTTAACACCATCTCAAGTGCATGTCTGATACCTTCCGCTTTAATGCCTCCGCGCAGATCCACCAGGCGTTGCATTTCATTTACTGCCGTACTCTACTTATGTAAATTCTAAATCAGGCAAAAGATGCTTGCCCTTAATGGTAACTGCGCCACTTGCGCGGCGCTGCGACTATATACTCTGCTACAAGACGAAAGATAAAAATTGCAAATAAGCAGAGAATTTCACATTATCAAACAATCGAAGAATGATCCAGCAGTCATGATCCATAAGTTCACTCGTCATCATCAGAACTTTCGCTTACAATCAAACCCAGGCCTCCGTGGTCGGTTTTTGGTGAAGTAAATGCGAACTTAAAAGAAAGGTTGGACGAAAAGCACTCCTTCAGCCATCGTTCAGCATGATACGCTAAATTTGGAAAAAAGGGGTGAAATATGTGGTAAGCATTCTGCACTTACACCGACAATATGTTTCACGTGAAACTTACTGTAAGACAGCTGAACGATGGCTGAAGAAGTAATATTGTACCCTTCTCTAAGCACTTACTAAAGATTACATTTCGGTGCCTAGAAAAAATTACTGCGGGAATAATGCTGCAGAACTATGAAAATGCTAGTCCTTTTGCTCCCATTTCAAATGTTTTTTTTTTGAATTAATTGGATCATAAGTACGTTACCATTCCAGGAACACCATGCAAAAAAAACAGCAAATCACCTTCTCTCAGTAAAACATTCAAGTCACGAAGCACTTTCTGATCTGTGTTATCTGCACTGTTATTCGCATGGTTTGAAAATTCAGATGGTGGTGTTCGAGTGCTGCAAATATGATTGTTCCTATACCACTGATGAGGTAGAATTAGGTTAGAGTTGAGCAAGAGTTCAGGCATAAATCTTTAAAAACGACCCCCCACCCCTGAAAGCGCTCAAACGACCCCTTCTTTCTCCTCCTCAACTCCGGGACCTCAGGATGTGACATTCTGAAATAGGTTCTGTCACTGCACTACACAAGAACACGTGATCTGACGACGAATTTTGATCTGAATAGGGCTATTGAAAGAACCATAATTTTCTCAGTCATTGTGGCAAGAAGAGGCTATGAGCTCACTCATACCTGGAATGGAACGATTTCTGAATTCTGAAGACAAGTTAAGGGTGGTCAGGCACAAGGCTATAAATGCTCAGGCAGCCTGAATTTTTGAGAAATTATGCCTGACCCCAATAACTTTACCTTTGAAGAAGCTTTCTCATCCAAGTTTTATATACTTCGTTGGTGCACACCTCGAAGACTCCACAGTAGGTGGGTGTTTGAACACCTCGGCTCGCAACGGCTTTGCGGTAAGTCGTGGAGTTAAAGCGCTTAAGGTGAAGAACGCGATGGTTGAAAATTTGGAAGCAGTTCTTAACCAACTATTTAAAAACGTTATGAAGTCGTATTTCTAGCATAGACTAAAAAAGAATAAAACTTCGTTATGAGTATAAAAGCTGACTTATCGCACTTTGAAACCAACTTAACAATGTTTGAAAATTACGCTTTTTGGACGTTACGAAACACTATAAGACGCAATGGGTAATGGTTTTTCGAGGTCGTAGAGGTGATTCGACATCCTGAGAGGACATCGTAGCCTTTACGCAACATGCTTCCCTGATGACTTTGCGGTATGTGTAAGGCAAGAGGTGGAAAATTGAAATTTGTCTGAACTTCGATGGTGAAATCAATCCATATGCTCTTCACGACCACGACTCTTACATACTGGTGGAGCTATGATATTCACCGGTCTAGCGCTTTCCTTCTTCACCTTACTCGGTCGTAACTTCCTCATTTTTTAAACGATCATTTCTTGTGCGACCCCCCCCCCCCCCAGGTCGGGCATGCCTGACCCCAAGCTCAACCCTGATTATGACTTTCAAACTTCAAAACTTCCTAACTTAAACCTACCCAGGCAGAATTGCGTCCAACCGTCTGTGAAGAGAGACTCTCTCGCTCTTTGCGAGTAGTTCTTGAGCTAATGACCGCCAACTGAAGGAGAAGTTTGATGAAAGGTCCGTGAATTTAAGGTCGCGGGAAAATTCTTGCTTAATTCAAACAAAATTCAATAACTTTCCAAATACTAAACCTAAATTTATAATTCGGTGTCCTAGAAATAGGGAAAGATTTGCGCTCCATGACGATGTTCATGCATAACATTCTATAAGTCCACCGAGAACTATAGGGAAAAATTTAAAAAAGCGTGTCAAATTTTGTGATGTTGAATTTGCTGCCAAAAAATTGCGGGGGGGGGGGGGGGCGCCAGTTAGTCCAAAATAATTTGTAAAATTTTCCTACAAGGGATAAGTCCACATGTCATTTGGCATGCTTCAATCTCTCCAATTTTATGGAAGTGCAAAAACAAAAAATTAGTAAAAATTGTCATTTCACAGGATAAACCCCCTATCATTGCAGTTTTTTTCGCAAAAAACACAGTTTGGAAGCAGAGTTTAGATTTAGTGTCTATTTAGAACACTGTGATTCTTTGGGGCGTCAAAAACTGTTTTCCTGAAAAGGGCAGTGATGAGGGGGGTTTTTCTGTAAAATGACAGTTTTTAACGGTTTTTTTGTTTTTGCGTTACCATAGAAGATTGGAAACTGTCACAATAACGTATGGAACTTTGGGGTGTAAGTAATTTTTTTGGGCTAACTAGCGATAAACTAGCACCAAACTCAAAGGCGCAAAATTTGAAGGCCGTTTTTGAAAGCTTTGTTCTGGTGGTTGAGTACAGAATACTACGCTTGAACATCTGTTATGTAGCGCAGACCATCTATTATTTTTAGGATAACAAAGTGATTTAGGTTTGGTATCTGGAAAGTTATTGGATTTTGTATGAATTACGCAAGAACTTTCGCGCTAACCTAATAACACAAAGGAGGTCTTCGAATTAATTGTGATTTAGTGTGGCTATTTTAGCAAAGTTCGCTTGCAACTCAAGATTAGTCTATAGGAAACAACACAGAATCATAGTAAAAGAAATGGTGTCGATAAAGAGAGGAAATGGACAAAGAGCAAAGGGTAATTTCAAAAAAAAAACGCACACCATTGTACTCGATTCACGACAATTTTTAGCTGACTGCATTACTTACCTCCTCATGCGCTTTGCCCTGTATCCCATCAAACTGGAGGCTACTTTCTTGACATGATATGAGAGCATCTCCCAAAGCGTACCGCCGTTCTCGGAAGATAAGGTATACGATTGCTTCTCAACAATATTCGTAGTTTTCCTGAGCGGGGTGCAATCAGCAAGACACGTAGATTTATAGACAGTTTTAAATGAATAATTTTTTCAGATTATGCTTTTCGTCACCATAGATCTTGTTGAAAATTTTGTCAACAAGACATGTGAGTAAATGGACTGGTCGAACGTGCACTGGTTCATAATTAGTCATGGTAGAAGACCTTTGGGGTACCACTCCCGATGTGGAAGCGATAGATAGCTGTGTACTGTTGAACATTGTGTAGTTGACCTTTATCAACTCATTGTATTCATAGTACATTTTGAAAAACGCAGCTAGAATTTTTTTGGGGGAGAAATTAGATACAAGTCACTTATCTGTATTATGACACGATTTTTCTATAGTATTTAGTATCCAACTATCTCCTGCATATCGGGTGAATGCAACATTTTATGAGTAGCTGAGTTTCCGCGTCTCTGATCGAGGCTACGGAACTGGATACCCAGATATTGCATCTTGAGCTATGATCAACATTAGCTCATATTTTTTGGAGAGGGTATGGAGGGTCTAAATCAAGATTAAGACCGCCCCTTGCCAGATACAAACACTTCATCTAGGTCATATAATGAATTTTTGTAAGAAAAAAATTCTGGTCTGCACTGGTGATGCACCTGTACCGAGATTCTAGTAAACTAGCCAATTGTGCAAATAAAGCTCGGCAATGAATAATAAGTGATATTCAAAGGTGTTTATAAATAGTACGTTAAATTATTAGTCTGAGTTGCAATTTATGTCATTATGTGTTATAACACTGTCTCTAAATTTTTTTCCAAATGATGAATATATCTGATTTGAGAAAACTCCAGCCCCTTCATCTTCACAAATTGTAGTTATTGATTTATGAATTACCAGATAATAAATCATGCATCTTTCAAAATAAAGAGGAGCTCTATAATGTTTTGCTGGTCCCGGGTTAAAAGTATGGAATAATTCATTGACCTAGGCAGTCCTCTTCTTAGTGAGATGACAATATTTAAACTACGAAACCGACTGCCGAGAGTCCCCCCCCCCCGCTTAAATATCACAAACTCTAAAGTTTGCGCAACCCGAAATTGGCAGGTAAACTGGCTTCTTCAGTAATACGATTTATGTTTATCTAATATTCAGTGTTTTACGTTTCTCTAACACTAATTCTATCGTTTTATCTAATAGAGTTCTTTGACAAAATTGAGACTGCAGAAGAACGTCTTTATCATGTTAACTACAAATAACAGAAAAGATTCAAACAAAAATTCCTACCAAATTTTCCAAAAACTATAATTTGCTCTACAGAAATTGTTAGAGAATTTGAACAGCACAAAATTTCATTGTCGTAAAGAGCAGACAGGATTCGTATTGCTGACGGCGCCCTCTCTGGCAACGAGAAATTCTGATTAAGAAACTTTCCCTCACCTCTTGCGTTGCATTTCATCTCAATCAATAAGCACATTAGCGTGCTCTCAAATTGTCAACAAACAACAAAACACGAGAAGTAAAGTATTGGAGACGAGTGAATCTGAAAAGTTTACATTTATATTCCCTCGTACTTTCAGCTGAAAGTGGTCTTTCCCTGGTACTTGCTCGCTTTTGATACTGGTCTTCGCCAACATATTCCGCTTGTGAAATCTTGGACTCTGGTGTTTTCCCTTTTCAATCTCTTCTCTTATATGAGCAAAGGGCAGTTTTTGAAAAAGTTGTTCAACTCTTGCTAAAGATTTGTACTAAGGCATCGTCAACAAAGATTCGGGAAGTGATAGGTTGAGAAATTCTCAGCAAAAGAGTTGATATCTTCATAGCAAAGCAAGAAAAACTGAGGCATGCTCTTCCAAAATGAAGTTTCGAGAAATGCAATGTTTAATCTAGAAAATCTTCCAGCTGATGCAACACGACAGAAAACTGCAGCTTATTAAATTTTGATATTTCAATCTTTACGATGTTCAGTGACCTGGAATGAAACCATCATACCTCTGAGAAAAAGATGTAATACTTTGTGATCGTAGATATCCAGTCCAGTTCTATTTTTCAAACTACATAATGAAGCAAATAAATCTTGGTTGGTTTGTCTCTATGACATAGCAGTGCAGTTCAACCACATCAGCGCCTACCCTTATCTTCTTATATATAAAGCTGAATGTCTGTTTGTCTATATGTCTGTATATCTGTCTGTCTGTCTGTTTGTCTGTACGTATGTTTCAATAGAAAATTCCATTTCTGAACCGATCCGGACCAAACTTGCACATAAACTCCGGAGTGGGCGGGTGTCATAGGCCACTTTTCGTCATCGATCGATATCGATTTTATCGAATTTATCGATTTTTTTGCAGAGGTTCACCTACGGGGCTGGGATTTGGCACAGGTGGGTAATGGAGCATGCTGATTACGTATACAATAATAGTTTTTAGAATAATCCATTACTTTTATCGATTTTATCGATATTTTTTGCAAAGTTTGAGCTACGGGGCTGAGAGTTGGCACAGGGGGGGGGGGGTAATCGAGCATGCTGATTACTAAAACAGCGGGAACAGTGAACTGGCATGTAAGCGTGGGCACAGGGAAAGGTTGTACTGGGATAGGGATGAGAGCTTTATCATGGTCTTTTGACAGGGCCTGGCGGAGCCGGGTAAGCCAGCTAATATATATATAATCCATTCAACTGCCAAATGTAATGTACTGTGAAAAGAATGTTGGATACCGCAATACACTTGGCGACCGCACGGGTTAGCCGTTACTACGGAGCACGCGACACGAATCATACGCTTGTCCCGATACAAATGTACAAATCACCGTTGCAGCCGTGCTTTCGCAGGTTTAGCCGGGCCTTGCTTTTTGAAATGGTGGCCATGCTGTGCTGTAGACGACTCAACGGTATCTATGGGCTAGTAAATCTGACGGTTAATATAGTGCCTCTGTAGTGTGAAGCGACAACTTTTTTGCGGGTACAAATGCTATGCCGTGAAGGCGGCATCTTGCGCTTGCAAAATGGCCGTAGGACACACATTTGAAGTTTTGATCCCTCTAACAAATGTTGCCGCTAAGTGTCGGCACCGCAGGGGCATTAAAGTAGCCGTCAGATCTGCTGCCAAATACAATAGCTTACTGACTCACAATTGCCCAGGAGTAACCCAGTCCTTCCCGATATCGTCTGGAATGTGCGCGATATGTCTCCGTCTTCGCTTTACCATTATATCTCAAAACATTGAAGTGCACCATGAAAAAGGTAGTTGCACTAGGACTCACCCACTCTTCTGAGTGTTGTCGTTCTCCTTCTTTTCTTCATCTCACATAGGTTCTCCACTACGAAAATGAAACACTTCGCTTTCTCAGTTAAACTTGCAGACATCTCCAAACATTTTCTGGCCTTCAACTTCCTTCTCATCGACAACTGCTTCATTCTGAAATTTTTCTCTGGGAATTATGTAAATAAATAACGCCTCTTACCTTTCCTCCGAGAGGCTATTTACTATAGCTGCAAACGCTTTTACCGTAACATTGGCGTAAAGTTCTTCGCCATATTGACGCGTACTCGGAATTATGATTTTATTCTTGTCAAAATTCCTTCTTAGCTCTGGAGGAACATCTTCCTCTTTTAATTCGCAAGTCACACAAAGAAAGAGAGCTATAAGAGAAAAACAGGATTCATTTTAAAAAATCTGACGTTATAGAAATAAAAACCTGTAAGGGTAATTCGCATGGTAGGTTACGTATCGTATGTCATAAGAAACATTCATGTATCGTTCGCGGTCGGCAAATCAATGAGATTGATTCGGTTCATTGAACTTATGTCATGTAACCTTTCCTATCATCTCTCCGGGTTCACATCATGGCGTGAACTACTTTGACGTATTGCTACATGAGAGTGATTATCATTACGAAAAACCAGCGCAGTTGCATCGGTAGAATCTGAACGTCAAGTAAACGGTGAGAGCATTATAAAGTTGGCACATGAATTTGTGATTAGCTTAGTGAAACTGCTTCCCCCTCCCATGTGTATTTTTCGGTTATTTATTCGTTTAGTATACAATTAGCCCTTTAGATGCTAGCTTTTCGGTTTGAATACATTTAAAATACGCTTGCTGACTAGAGACGCTGAGGCCATGTCACATGGCACTGAGGCTAAAGCTAGAAACTAGAATTTCAAACCTTGACGATGTCGTGAAAAATCAATTGTGATAACATCCTGATTGAGGATAACTGCGTTTCTAAATCGTTATCAGCGCATTGTTGGAGACTCCCATGCCATTGAAGAGTTCGATGTTTAGAATTTTCCATAGATCCGATGAGGAAATGATGACTTTACAGTGTTAAACCGCCGTGTTGTTTTTGTTTGGTTTGTTATCTCGCCGAGAGACGATCACGAGGCGCAATTTCTCCGGCTGTCACCAAATAAAATATCCAGCTTAGTGCTATGCGAGTCTTTACAAAGTAGATACCAGATAAAGTGAATTAGGGTACGATTTAGGAGTCACGATTTTTCGCGAAGCGACGCCGCAGCGCAACGTCAAGTAGTACAAGGCTCAGCTCCCGTCAATACTCCTGCCGCAATGTTACTTATGGCATCGAGTTATGTATCTGCTGCCGCCCCCCACCCCCCTAATATGGCGTCGTGCCACTTCAGCACCGGAGAGTTTTCATGAGGTCTAAAATTTGAGCGCGGCGAGCGGCCTCCGCGCGCGGTGTGACTCCCGACTCGGAGCCAGTGCATTAGCCTACTATCTGTCTGGGGTTACCACTTGCTGAGTTTGGTGGCTTTTGCTGGAAATGTGACCGAAATGTTTACGAATCTGTTCTTGACTGCATTTTCATGGGTTCTTGGCTCGTAATTAAAAATCGAATTCGTTCACAAAATGGAAACTACGATCAAGGTGAGAAAGAAAAGCTCGTCCGGTGCATATCGCAACCTCGCCTGTACGGAAGGATCGACGGTCGTGAACAGCATGCTGATTATCCACCGATGTTTCAGCCAAAATTGAAATTTTATTCAAAATTAAAATTTTATTTTTTACCTTGACATATCATTGAGGTCACCAAGGAAGTGAATGCCCATAATCGGCCGCGGAACTGGTGGGGAAACTGAGTTGCGCCCCAGTGCAAATCGATTGGAGCACGTCATTTCCTTGATTCGCGCACGTAGCAAGCAAAGTGAATATGATGACTCCAATAGCATCGTTTTTGCTTTCACTCCACATAAGATTTCTACTACAATCACAGTTACTGACTAAGTGAATAACTTAAGAAGTTTTCTTAACAAGTTTACAACTTGCCGAGCTTGAGCGAACCATGACACTCTGCATTTATTGAGTTTGTGCTGGTGTTAACGTTGGGAAGTTCTTGTGAAGCTAGCTACTTCCCTACATAACTTTTACGGGTAAAAGCACAGTCCAATGGCAAAAGGCATGGGGGCGCTGAGAAGAGGCAGCGCTTGTACGTAAGTCGAAATACCACTGCAATTGTGAACTGAGCCTGGTTTATGGCTTCGAACCCAATCCTAGTTCAGCATCAGTACCACAGTTGATCCGAGAAACAAGATGGAACAGATCTTGCGTTGCTGTAAAAATAAGTTTCTGGTGGATGTTTACCTTGCAGAATATCTATATGTTGTGACTCTATAAATGTCAGTCGGGTTAGAAATGTTTGAAGAATATGTTGATCGAGTACAGAACGACATCCTTGAATGCAGCGAGCCTAGTACAGAATCAAACACAACATCTGCAAATTCGACCCGGTTCCTATGTTCTATCTCTAAACATCTTCTCAAGAATTATTGTTGGCACTTTTCTTTTTCTGGTAGCTAGTCAGTCATTTCAAGATAAGATAGCTAACTGAGCAAGGATCCCCATCATAACTTTTCCACACTGGAGATTTATAAATCATCAATTTTGCTGTGTTAGTTCCAGCACATGCTGTTGCTTAAAAGCAGTGGGTCGGCAAAACTCAACAACTCAGGATTCCAACGAGGCGCATTCGACTCTGTGGCCTGCCGGCGAGCGGTTGGTTGTTCCAGAGCTCCCGCTCGTTTGTGCCCTACTTCGACCGTCATCGATTCGCTCCACGTCTCGTCGAACTTCTTCTATTTTCTGCTATTACTACGACTATTCCGTTCTACTCTGGAGATGGAAACGCCGATTTACCCCCTCGAGCCACAAGAGAGGCAAAGGAAAAGAAGAATTCAATTCGAGTCGACGCCCCCAAACTTCGACGCGGCCGCGGAGAGCCTTCTCAAGGACGATTCAATCCCGTTATACGCCAGGACGATTGTTGGATATTTACTGGAGGAAAGAAGAAACTACGAAGCCCTCAGCCAGCAGAACCGTGAGTTGCTCACCCAAGTTCGCATTTTGTCGGAGCAGTTAGGTTCTACAAAGCATGATAATCAATTGCTTCGTTCAAGTATTGATCGCAATCCACCTAGTGCCTCCCCCATACCTTCTCATTCGTCTCCAATTATTTCATCTGCCGTTTGTGAGGAACGAGAGAGGCAACACTCACTCGTTATCAGTGGGATCCCTGAATCCAGAGGAGGTTTTAGTAGTGCTAATGTTAGTCATGATTTCAATTGCGTAGTTCAAATCTTCGATCATCTCGCCATTGATTGTGCGCCTGTATCAGTTTATAGATTAGGTAGGCCGTCATCAAGGCATGACAGGCTGTTGAAAGTTATTCTTCCATCTAAGTTTTTTGTTAATCTTGTACTGAGGCGAGCTTCGAAAATGAGGACCTTCCCTTTCAAGCGAGGGGTGTTCATTCGCCCCTCTCTCCCTAGGCAGGAAAGGGAAAGGCTTCAAAAAAGCAAAGCAGCACGCCGCAGTGCACAGACTGCACAGAATCATAGTTCTGTTGTTCATGTTGATAGTTGTATCCAAGAAGCTTAGGATGTTCAGGGTGTTAATAGTAATGTTGATGCTGTTGCTCATTCCAATGTTGAATCTCATAATGATTTTCTCAACTCTTTTAGTGCTTAGTAGTGGAAAAGTTTGCAAATGGCCAGCTAGAATGTTTTTTAGCAAATGCTCGTTCTATCTGTAAAAATGTCGATAATCTTAAGTTTCACTTGCAAAGTGGGCGGCTTGCTTTGGCTGCTATCACTGAGACTTGGTTAACTGACTCCACTAGTGATAGCTCTTTATTTGGGGACTTAACTGCAGACTATTCTTTCCACAGATGTGATCGAGTAGGCAAAAGGGGCGGAGGTGTTCTACTCATTATCAGTAACAGATTAAATCCGTATCTAATATTCAAAGAGTCTGTATCGGGCAGTTATGAACTGTTGTGTTGTGAGACTGCGGGATATAAGTCTATACGGTGGATTTTGGTCTACAGATCCCCCTCCTGCTCATCGTGTAAAACGGACCAGCTGATCAAAGCCCTTACGGACCTTTTGGCATGTAACAATTCTGTTGTGATGTTGGGTGACTTCAACTTTCCTGATCTGACCTGGGCTAATCATGGCAGTTTGAAAGGGTTTACTGCTCCTGCTAAAAGATTCATTCGAATGTGCCGCCTTCATAAACTGAATCAGAAGGTTGAATCCAACACATTGGGTCAGCATCTACTTGATCTAGTTCTTACGAATGATTCGATGCTGGTGGCCAGATCTAGTGTTGAGGCACCATTAGGAAATAGCGACCACGCCTCAGTAAAATTCTCTTTGAACTATTGTAAGCACTCTGATCCAACTTTTGTCAGTTATAGAGATTATAAGCATGCGAATATTGAGAGTTTGACAGAATACCTCTGTACGGTAGATTGGTACGGTTCCTTTAATAATTTGGGGACGGTGGATGACATGTACGAGTTGTTTTTGAGTGTTTTGCATCATGCTATTGATCTTTTTGTTCCCGTTGCTTTTCGGCCAATACAACAAGTCAGCATGCCTGCTTATTTAGATGCTCTCTTCCGTAAAAGAGAGCATGCATGGGCAACTGCAGTTGGAAGTAGTGATAGTAGATACTGGAATACTTTCAAGAAAGTTAATTCAAAGTTTATAAAGAGGCTCAAAAAGTATAATGCCTCCATTGAGAAGAAAGTGATTGAATCGGGAAACTGTAACTCCTTTTTCAAAATGGTTAAGTCTAGACTTAAAAATGTTAATGAAGCTGGAGTGTTGACTACTGAAGAAGGTTCAGTCATTTGTAGTGATGAAGAAAAGGCAGAATGCTTTGCCGACACCTTTGAGAAATCATTTGTGGGGGAGTTAGTTCCGCAAATGACTAACTCCTCCAATCCAACATATGGGTTCACTCATATGGTTGATGGAGTTTGGTTTGAAAGTGATGAGATTTACCAACTCTTGATGAAATGGCATAAATCTACTTCGCTAACTCCTGACTTTTTACCGCTGCATTTTATAAAGTCTATCGCTCATGTAATTGCTGGCCCCCTTCAATTCATATTCAACTTGAGTATGATGCGAAGTGAGGTTCCGCGTCGATGGAGAATCTCATTTGTGAGGCCCATACCTAAGAAGAAACCATTGACTTGTCCTAATAACTTCCGTCCTGTAAGTATAACATCCATATTTTCAAGGGTCTTGGAGAAGATTTTGAAGAAGCGCATTGTCAATCACTTGACTTCGAACTCAATCATTTCTCCGTATCAGCATGGTTTCCAAAGGGGCAAATCTACTGTCACGGCCATGCTTCAATCTATGAATGACTGGACCCTACAATTAGATAATGGGTTGAGCACAGATGTTATCTATTTGGATTTCT